CTTCGAGTGGAAGGAGCTTCTGACGAGGGGAGTAATCTCAGGAAAGGCCAAGGAAGTGCAGAAAGCTGTGCATGAAGCAGCCACTTGCACATTTTCCCGTGAACGTGTCCCATCCCTGGAAGCATTCAAGGCCAGGTTGGATGGGGCTTGGAGCAACCTGGTCCTGTGGAAGGTGTCCCTGCCTTGGCGGGGCAGGGGGTTGGATTGAAATGGCAGGGGAACTGTAACAAGATGAGATTTAAGGTCCCTTCCAACCAAATCATTCTGTGATTCTACAATTCTACAATTCCCTGATAGACATATTTTTTTTTTACTGTCTACAATAAAAAGTCTGCTTGTTTCCTGAGGTTCATGCTGTCACTGCCTGTCACTAGACACCTGATTATACCATTTCTGTAGCCTGCACCAAGTTACTCCTGGATGCAGGGGCTGTCAAATCAGTAATTGTTCCCATTTGGGCCCGTAATATTCCACCCTGGACCAGATTCGCCAGCAACCCTTCCCTCCTGGAACAATTCCATCAATACCAGGAGGCTCGGATTCTCCCTTTGACAGCAGAGCACTGGCCGGTTCCACGCTCCCCTCGCCCCACTCATCCTTTGCCGTGTGACAGACGGATGTGGAAGCACACACGGCAGGTCCCTTCCACCGCCTAGCAGGGCCACCGCGGGCCCAGTGGCTAATGAAACACCTCTGTATGAGGGGAGAACAGGCTGCCAGGCTCCCCTACCCTCCACCCTCCATCCTCCTAGTCCTCCCAGAGCCCGGCTGGGTTAGCCCGGCTCACGGCAGCCGCGGGGACACCGCCACCCCTCGGTACCAGAATGGGTGGGTGCTCCCCTCGCATCTCTCTCCGTGCATCCCCCACGCACGTCCCCCACGCTTGAAGCCCCCCCATCAACCCCTCCCGAGCACTGGGGGATCTGCCCACCGCGGGGTGGCCGAGCCGGGTGTGCCCTGTCCCCCCCCTTCCCCTCCTCCCCGTGTTGGGCTCCCGGCGGCCAAGTGCCCTTTGAGCATCAGGCGTCAGGCCCGGGATTATCGGGGCCGTTTATTTGAAGCGGAAACGAATCGGAAATCCTTCTCTCAACTGCCTTTCGGAGACATAAATACAGCAGGCAGGGGCAGCGCGGGGACCGCCGTGCCCGGGTGGGATGGTGGGATGTTGGGGATGCAAACACGCGGGACACACTCGCGCTCTCTCACACACACACACACACACGCTGACACACACTCACACCCGGGGAAACAAGGGCGGTGCAGGGGAGGGGGGACCCGATTTCCCAGTGCCCGCCGGGAAAACCCGGCGAGGAAGGGGTGTGAGTGCGAGTGCGAGCGCCCGGCGCTGGGCAGGAGCCTTGCGCCAGGGCTGGGGTTGACAATAGCCGCCCGCGGCTGCCGCCTGCCTTCTAACCCCCTCCTCTTCCCCAAACCACCACCTTCCCCCCAGATAATACCGGCGGTATTCCGCCTGTCCATAGCTCAACTCCACTTCCACCCGTTGTTGGGGGATTTGGAAAGGGGGCACCGGGGTCCCGGGGGCGGCAATCACCGGCTTATTAAGAACTGGTATTACACGGGGGGGTGGGGAGGGGGGCCCGCTTTCCTAATTACTAACCCCACTCCCCTCCCCACATCGTTGTCCCCGCAAATCGCCCCCTTTTAGGGGCTGCGTGTCCTTTTCAATGTCAAAACCAGCCCGGGGCCACCCCGGGGCAGCGGCGCCCCCCACTCCAGCGCCCCGGGCAGCGCCGCGGAGCCCCCCGCACACACACACTCGCACACACAAAATCCCCGTAAGGTTACAGTGCTGCTCTCTAGCTCCACTTAACCTGCAATTTACGAAGCGGGAGGGGGGTCGTGTGTGTGTCCCCCCAATTTCCACAGGCACACACGGTAGCTGCCACCTTCACGTATAAACACATATAGGCTACAAAAGGAGGAGGGGGGGTGGGGGGCACAAGAGGGGGAATAAATACATTATGCAAACTCCTAAAAAAAAAAAAATCCAACCTTTTCCCAGTAGCACGGTTTTACACACACCGCCACCACCCCCCTCCAGCAACCACACACAAACATCCCCCCCCTAAACGGGCACAAAGCGTGGGGAGAGAAGGGGTCGGAGGGGAGAGGAGGATTCGCGTGCACCGCATTGAGGAGGAATATTCCCCTCTCTCCTCCCCAAAAACCCCCCAAAAAAACAAATAAAGCCTTTTCCGCGCCATTGCAAA